AGAGCCCTGACTCAGCCCCCAGCACTGTCAGGCAGCTGGGGCTTCCCTGTCACAGCCTCCCTGCCTCCACTCACCCTCCTCTGGGGGTTCCTCGAGCAGCAGCTGGCTCAGCCCCTCCCAGTCCTTCAGCAGTGGGGCTGCACAGTCCCACAGGCTGTCCACCAGGTACGCAGCATGCTCATGGAGCTGTGGGGAATAGAGACATGGTGAGAGAAGTCCCCACATACACCTTCCGCTCATCCCACCCCCTGCGCCCCTCACCTCACTCTCAATGAAGAAAGCCAGCAGCAGTCTGAAGAAATCGTTGTTCCCCCCATGGTTCCCCTTCTCCTTCCTGGCTTCCCAATCCCGGTCAAACTGCCTGCCAACAACAGACACAGAGAGGGGAGAGCTCACACTCCTGGGTTCTCCACCAGCATGGGGAGAGGAGTGGGGGCTGGGAGCCAAGACTCCTTGGTTCTCTCCTGGCCCTGGGAGGGGAGCTAGGATTAGGGTTAGAACAGAGGAGAAGAGATATGTTATCCCATTCACCAGTGAAAAGCACAGGCTGAGATTGCAGGTCAAGGCGAGGAGGGAGGTGAGTGGGGTGCCTGTGAGGGAGCCCCATATCCCAGAGTGGAGAGGAAAGTACATCTTTGCTGAGAGCCCCACACCCCTTGCTGGTGGCACTGTGACTCCACTCACTCACTTCCTGTAAAGGAATTCCCCGCCGGCGGCAGCCAGAGCCCGGCTGGAAGCGTACACCATGGGGTACACGGCTTCACAGTCCTCATCTGTCAGCATCTCCTCCATGTTCCTGCCCACAGATAGGGAGGGTCAGACTGAGTCTCCAGTTGCCTCCCCTTAGGGCTCACCAAGTGCCCTCTGTTGACCCCCACCTCACTCCCAGTTCCGCACTCACTGCAAGATCAGAGTCAGCAGCTTGATGGCCTCCACGCCCACATCTGGCTCTTTGTCCAGGACCATGGACACAATGCGACCCTGAGAGACACACAACTCAGAGTCAACCGTGGTAGCAGACAGTTAGTGTCATGGGGCAGCACTCCCCAGACAGACAGGCAAGCAGTGGGGCAGGGCCCACAGGACGGGCTGTGCCCAGGAGGCAGGACAGGGTACTCACCTTGAAGCGGCTGGTGAAGAGCTCCATGCGGGCAGCTATCTCCCGGCTGTGGTACAATCCCTGCAGGGCCTTCAGGCACTTGAGCCGCACCTCCCGCTGCTGTGGGGAAGAAGAGGCTGAGAGCCTGGCCAGCCTTGCCCCATGCGCCCGTCCCCTTTCAATCTCCCAGCTCGCTCCTGCACTCTCGGCTGCTGCCCACCTTGTCGTGCAGGGTCCAGCCGATGTACTTGAGGTAGCCGTCAGTCAGGAAGGAGGCGCTGTAGTTCTGAATCCAGTTCCCCAACTCCTCTATGCAGATGGCCCGGATCTCAGGCACTAGGTCCCTGGCAGACAACACATAGCATGTCTATGTGGCACCTGCCCCCAGGGCAGACAGGCCTCCACAGCACATGCACACACACTGCTGTTCCAGGCAGAACCCATCCTAGCAGCCCGATTCACACTGCTGCCCCAGGGTCACCGAGCAGAGCCCTCCCCGCAGCCTGACAGGTCTCCACACATGCACACTGCTGCCCCACGGTCACCTAGCAGAGCACTGCAACTAGCAGGCCCCCTCCTGATCTTCCTCCCCACACTCACCTGTAGCGATGCACAAAGACCCCCTTGAAGATGGCATTCATCATGTTCTCTATCTCCTCTTGCTGCTCCTGGAGCTAAAAGAGACAGGAGTCAGCCCTACAGCCCCTGCACCCTCTGCCCCAGTCCCCCACACTACATGTTCCCTGCGACTCCAGGGCTTAACTCACTTCCTTACGCTTAGCCAGCAAGGCCTCAAGCTTCTCTGTGGCCCGGCGGCTCGGCCCTTTGCTCCTCTCAGACTCGTACTGCCGCTGGTTATTGTCTTTGTGCAGGCTCACACCCAACGCCACCATCACCAGAGCCGTCATCAGCTTCATGGCTGGCAAAGAACACAAAGCGAGCAAGCGGGGAGCTCTGCATGAACCCCTATCACAGAGCCCCAGGATCCAGGCCCCTGCTTTGGAACAGTCTTGAGACAGGACCCTTCAGGGACCAGACCCCAAGGGTCACCCTTTCTCCAGGCTTGGCTACAGGGCTTCCCCACCTCCCTAAGCTGGAGCACTGGCCTGAAGCCTCCTGCTTCCCACCAAGCTCTGCTCAACGTGTAGCAGGGAGCCGCCCACCTCAGCCACCCTGAATGGATTCCTGCCCCTTATTCAGCACGTGCAGTGGCACACGGTGCTGCCACACAGCCAGGTTCGTTCAGTAAGGGGAACACTGCACAGGAAGCTTAAGGGAGTCAAGAGAGATGAAGGTTAGAACATCATCCGCTGGGGGCAGCCCAGAGCTCAGCCAGGCTGAAGGAAACCTCTTGGTTCAAGCTCTCTCCATCCACACATCCGCCCCCTGGGTCAGACTGCAGTGAGAGCCCAGCAAAGGCTAGTCCCTCCCCACTATCTGTTTGCTCTGGAGCTGGGATATGCCCTTAGCTTCCTTTTGAGAGGCAGGGAAGCCCATTTCCCCAGATCCTGGCTTGCTAGGTGCCCATATCCTGGCAACTGGATCTGCCATTGTGTTCTCAGATGTGCCAGAGATATGGGACCAAAGGGCCAGACAGTTAGCACTCACCCCTCTTTCTCCTAGCCTGTCTGAGAGCAAACAGTCTTCCCCCTCATACACTGGGTAACAATGTGGCAGACAGGAGAAACTGAGGCATAAACAGGATTAAAAAATATTACAAAATCCCCTACCATTCGCCTCTGCAGAGAGGTTTTCTGGGGGCTCCCAGCCCTCAGCCCACACCCTACAACACAGCCTGGGTCTTCCTCGCCATCAGAGTAGGAGCCAGGCATCCTGCTCGGAGTGCTCCCCTGTAGTTGCACTGCCAGGGCAATTGCTGTTTGCAATCCTGGGATAGGACTCACCTGCGAAGGTGCTGGTGTGGCGGAAGGCGCGCACCTGGGAGTCGGAAAGGCCCGTAAGGAGGGAGATGAGGGTGTCCATGAGGTACTCATCATAGATGATGCTGTATTGGCAGCGTCGCACCAGCACAGCCACCAGCTCACAGAAACCCACCCGGAACTTCCGCCAGGGGTGGCTGGTCAGGACCAGTGGGTATTCAACAGAGTTCTGCCATAGGCATGAGGGGTGAGAAAGGCAAGACATGTCACATCTGCGTCTGACCATTTTCTCCACACTCCCCCAAAGCTACAAACTCACTCCACCAAAAGCTACAAACTCATGGATCATCAGGGTCGCAGAGCAAAATAGAACTGACTCAGCTAAGAGTGAGAGCAAAGACTAGACCAGCTCTACATTTACAGTGGGCCTGAGCACTAAGAGAGAAGAAACACCAAGAAAATCCCTAGTCTGGGGAACCCTCAGGGCTACGCTGTGATTCTGTGATTAATCATAGAATACTAGAACTGGAAGGGACCTCAAGAGCTCATCAAGTCCCCTGCCCTCATGGTAGGACCATGCACCATCTACAATCTCTAGATCATCCCTGATAGATGTCTCTCTAACCTGCTCTTAAACATCTCCAGTGATGGAGATTCCACAACCTATCTAGGCAATTTATTCCAGTGTTTAACCACCCCAACAGTTAGGAAGGTGGTTGTGGTACATATAGGTATCAATGACATAGGGAAGGGTAGGAGAGAGGTTCTGGAGACAAAATTTAGGCAGCTAGGAAAGAGATTGATCTCTATGGTAACGTTCTCTGAAATGCTTCCAGTTCCATGCACAAGGCCAGGTAGGCAGGCAGAGATTCAGAGTCTCAATGCGTGGATGAGATGATTGGTGTAGAGATGAGGGGTTTAGATTGATTAGGAACTGGGGAAACTTTTGGATGGGGGAGCCTATACAGGAAGGATGGGCTGCACCTAAACCAAAATGGAACCAGACTGCTGGCACTAACATTAAAAAGATAATAGAACAGTTTTTAAACTAAGGGCTGGGGGAAAGCTGATGGGTGCAGAGGAGCACATGGATTGGACAGGAAGGTCTATTAATAGAGATTTTCTGTGTTCTAGTCAGGAGAAGAGGATGGAAGAATGGGTCAGATCAGATGAGACAATTAAATGAAAAAGAGTCTAACATCAGGAAATGGCAGACAGATAAATAGTGACAAATTTTTAAAGTGCTTATATACAAATGCTAGAAGTCTAAATAATAAAATGGGTGAACTAGAGTGCCTAGTTTTCAAGAAGGATATTGATATAATAGGCATCACAGAAACTGGTGAAATGACGACAATCAATGGGACACAGTCATACCAGGATACAAAATATATCGGAAGGATACGACAGGTCGTGCTGGTGGGGAAGTAGCACTATACATGAAAGACAATATAGATTCAAATGAAGTAAAAATCTTAAATGGGCCTAAATGTTCCATAGAATCTCTATGGATGGTAATTCCATGCTCCAATAATAAGAATATAGCAGTAGGGATATATTATTGACCACCTGATCAGGACAGTGATAGTGACTGTGAAATGCTAAGGGAGATTAGAGAGGCTATCAAATTAAAAAACGTGATAATAGTGGTGGATTTCAACTACAGGCAGTCCCCGGGTTACGTACAAGATAGGGACTGTAGGTTTGTTCTTAAGTTGAATTTGTATGTCGGTCGGAACTGGTACATATTGTAGGGGAAACTATAGCCAAACATTTCTCCAGAGCTCAGTTTTATTCTCCCACACCTCACTTCCCTCAGTCCTTTATTCTCAAGCTGAGGTGTCTGCTGAGAAAAGCTGCTCCACATCTCCCTGGTCTGCTGGGGGGGGCGCTAGCTTCGCGTCTCCCTAGTCTGCTGGGGGGAAGCAGCTAATGCGGGGTTGCCTCACCCCATTTGTAAGTAGGGATCTGATGTAAGTTGGATCCATGTAACCTGGGGACTGCCTGTATCCCTATATTGACTGGGTACACGTCACCTCAGGACAGGATGCAGAGATAAAATGTCTTGATACCTTGAATGACTGCTTCTTAGAGCAGCTAGCTCTGGAACCCACAAGGGGAGAGGCTATTCTTGATTTAGTCCTAAGTGGAGCACGGGGACGGGTTCAAGAGGTAAATATAACTGGACTGCTTGGAAATAATGACCATAATGTAATAAAATTTAATATCCCTGTGATGGGAAAAACACCTCAGCAGCCCAACACTGTAGCACTTAATTTCAGAAAGGGGAATTACACAAAAACGAGGAAGATAGTTAAACAGAAATTAAAAGGTACAGTGACAAAAGTAAAATCTCTGCAAGCTGCATGGAAACTTTTCAAAGACACCATCATAGAGACCCAACTTAAATGTATACCCCAAATTAAAACACACAGTAAGAGGACAAAAGAAGTGTCACCGTGGCTTAACAACCAAGTAAAAGAAGCAGTGACAGATAAAAAGGCATCTTTCAAAAAGTGGAAGTCAAATCCTAATGAGGAAAATAGAAAGGAGCATAAACGTTGTCAATTTAAGTGTAAAAATTTAAAAAAAAACAGTAAGAAAAACCAGAAAGGAGTTTGAAGAACAGCTAGCCAAAAACGCAAAAAGTAATAGCAAAATGTTAAGTACATCAGAAGTAGGAAGCCGGCTAAACAACCAGTGGGGCCCTGGGACAACTGAGATGCTAAAGGAGCACTCAAAGATGATCAATTCATTGCAGAGAAGCTAAATGAATTCTTTGCTTCAGTCTTCACAGCTGGGGAGAGTCCCAAACCTGAGTCATTCTTTTTAGGTGACAAATCTGAGGAATTGTCCCACATTGAGGTGACATTAGAGGAGGTTTTGGAACAAATTGATGAACTTAACAGTAATAAGTCACCAGGACCAGATGGCATTCACTCAAGAGTTCTGAAAGAACTCAAACGGGAAATTGCGGAACTATTAACTGATTTCTAACCTATCCTTTAAATCAGCTTCTGTACCTAATGACTGAAAGATAGCTAACATGATGCCAATATTCAAAAAGGGCTCTAAAGGTGATCCTGGCAATTACAGACCGGTAAAGCTAATGTCAGTACCGGCAAATTAGTTGGAACTATAGTAAAAAATAAAAATGGCAGACACATAGAGGAACATAATTTGTTTGGGGGGGTGGGGAGACAGTCAACATAGTTTCTGTAAAGGAAATCATGCCTTACTAATCTACTAGAGCTCTTTAAGGGGGACAAACAAACATGTGGACAAGGGGAATCCAGTGGATATAGTATACCTAGATTTCCAGAAAGTCTTTGACAAGGTACCACACTTAAGTAAGGCTCTTAAGTAAATTAAGTTGTCATGGGATAAGAGAGAAGGTCTTTTCGTGGACTGATAACTGGTTAAAAGACAGGGGAAAAAGGTAGGAATAAATTGAAAGTTTTCCAAATGGAGAGAGGTCACTAGTGGGGTTCCTCAAAGATCTGTTCTGGGACCAATCCTATTCAACTTATTTACAAATGATCTAGACAAAGGGGTAAACAAGGAGATGGTAAAATTTGCAGATGATACCAAACTGCTCAAGATAGTTAAGACCGAAGCAGACTGTGAAGAGCTTCAAAAAGATCTCACCAAACAAAGTGACTGGGCAACAAAATGGCAAATAAAATGTAATGTTGACAAATGTAAAATAATGCACATTGGAAAAAACAATCCCAACCATACGTACATCATAATGGGTCTAATTTAGCTAAAACTACTTGAGAGAGAGATTGTGGAGTCATTGTGAATACTTCTCTGAAAATATCTACTTAGCATGCAGTGGCAGTAAAAAAGCAAATAGAATTTTAGGAATCATTTAAAAAGGGATAGAGAATAAGACAGAAAATATCTTAATTCCGCTATATAAAACCATAGTATACCCACATCTTGAATACTGAGTACATATGTGGTCACCTCATCTCAAAAAAATATATTGGCACTGGAAAAGGTTCAGAAAAGGCAACAAAAATGTTTAGGGGTTTGGAACGGGTCCCACCTGAAAAGAGATCGAAAAGACTTAGACTTTTCATCTTAGAAAAGAGGATACTAAGGGGGAATATGATAGAACAGTGTTTCTGAAACTGTGCTCCGTGGAGTGCCAGGGCTCCGCGAGACATCTCCAGGGGCTCCGCGAGGTTGACAAACGGGAAACATCGATAGGTACAACACATACAATCAGTGGACCGCTGGGGCTTCGCATAAATTTTTACTCATGTAAAGGGCTCCGGAGCCCAAAAAGTTTGAGAACCGCTGTGATAGAGGTCTATAAAATCATGACTGGTGTGGAAAAAGTGATTAAGGAAAAGTTATTTACTTATTCCCACAATATAAGAACTAGGGGTCACCAAATGAAATTAATAGGCAGCAAGTTTAAAACAAACAAAGGAAGTTTTTCTTCACTCAGCCCACAGCCAACCTGTGGAACTCCTTGCCAGAGGATGTGGTGAAGGCTAGGACTTAAATGAGGTTCAAAAAAGACCCAGATAAATTCATGGAGGTTAGGTCCATCAATGGCTATTAGCCAGGATGGGTAGGAATGGTGTCCCTAGCCTCTGTTTCTCTGGAGGCGGGTGACAGGGGAGGGATCACATGAGGATTACCTGTTGTGTTCCCTCCCTCTGGGGCACCTGGCATTGGCCACTGTTGACAGACAGGATACTGGGCTGGATGGACCATTGGTCTGACCCAGTATGGCCATTCTTATATTCTGAGGGAACACTGGGCTAGAAACTGCTGAATAGGCAGTGAATAAATGTAGGCCCATTGCAAGTCTGCTATTCCTCTTCCCTTTGCCTGGATATCATCAGATCCATTTACTGGCTTTCATTTGAACCTTTAGCTTGAGCTTTGTTAAATCCTCTTCACTCCGGTTTTGTTAGAAACCCATCGAAGAGCCATGTACACAGAAGCCTTGATCAGAGGTGAGGCTGGCAGAGTGGGCTCACTGCTCCTAGGCGAGTAGCAGACAGGGGTGCACTGCAGATGTCCAGAAGCGAAGGACTGAGCACTCATGTAACAAAGTGAGGTGAGAAAGAGGGGACGTATGACAACCCAGAGTACAGAGCTCTGCTGCCAGCAGTTTTGGGGGGGGAAGAGTATGCCAATGAGCACACACAAGGTTCTCTTATACCCTATGCAGGGGGATTCACCCCAGGCAATGCCCCCCTCATGCCTCTGTCTCCTCCCAGCCATCTGACTGCTCATAGGGGATGAGCTCGAATTATATCCAGAAGCAGCACATCACTGAGTTCCTGCAGCATGGCCCCTTGTCCACCCCACTGTAATTCCTATCCCTACACTCCCAGAGCCCTGCCTGGACAGTTCCTCCCTCCCCGTCCCACCTCATCAAACTGCTCCGTGAGCTGCTGGATGATCTCTGAGTTTTGCAGCCTCCTGAACATCTCCTTGGTCACCACACCTGTGAGTGGAAAGAGAGAGTAGGTGGCACAACCAGCCAGGGCCACTGCCCTGGGCATCCCCCAAAGCTGTATGAACCCACAGATCTCTCAGCAGTTCCTCCTCCAGCAGAGGCAAGGCAAAAAGCTCAGAGCCCATCCCAAAACAAGCAGGGGGGGGCAAATTGAGAGATAGGGGCTGGAGTGTAGACTAGGGCCATGTCACACCTACACCAAGTTGGGCCAGGGCCTCTCACCTTTGCAGCCACAGGAACGGATGAAGAAGTTGACAAGTTCCAGGAAGCCAGCTTCTCTGTTCTGCTTGTAGCTCTCCAACCAGTCATCCACCACAGACTTCGTGGGCAGGAGAGGTGATGAAAGAGAAGTTGGGTTATGCAAGACGTGAAACACAGAGGTGTGACATGGCATTCTTTATGGGAATGTGAGCATGGCATAACTGGAACATGCTTTATGCAAAGTACTTGGTGTAAGATCTCACTGGAAAGTTGTAATCTACTGAACACAATTATTCCATTTCTAAATATCCTCAGTTAGAAATATGCAGTCTAAACCTGCGCTACTAATGTAGCCATGATAAGTGAGGGCTACTACTCAGGATAGTAATCTGCAAATAGACTTGTTTTGCTGCAAGCCTGGGAAGCAGGGCTAGGGGTGGGTCCTACCAAGATCTGCAGCCACATCACCTAAGGCTGGGACCCATCTTGGATGCTGTACTTTTCCACAAAAGCAGAAGGAAAGTTTAGTGTGAACACAAGACTACGTAAGGGGGGGCAGTGAAGTAATCCAGGCTGGCAGTTCTCCCTGGCACCCCACCCAAGGTGATTGCTGGAAACTTCTAAGGCTGCACAGGGGGAAAGATGGGACCCAGACTGGAAAGGTACCCAGCCATTGCGATTATTGGAACCTACGGTGAGAACTTAGGTATAACCAGTTCCCTTAGTACATTAATGTTTGTGTGTTCTGTTGAATTGTACTTAGTTTGTGTGTTCTCTTTTATAATCACTTCAACCCTGCTTTTTATACTTAATCATACTACTGTATTTTGTTTAACAACAAACCCAGTGTAAGTATCTTTACTTGAAGAGGTCAGGAGTCTGTGCATCTCTCTTTCCACTGAGAAGGAGGATGAATTTCATGAACTTACGCTGTACAGATCTGTATGGATTTATCTAGGGCTCAGCTCCCAAAAGGGCTGTGTACTTGAATGCTGAGTAAAGACCTCATGCTGTGCTGCAGCCTAGGAGTGTGGTCCTGTCCCAATGTCTATGATGTAGTAAGCTAGCACACCTGGCTCAATAAGACAGAGTTACAGGGTCTCCAGGCTGTCAGGGAAAGCAGGCTCAGTACCGTCTTGGCACATCAGGTGACAGTCCTAAGGGGATCCTGACCTGTCACAATGGGCTGGACACTCACAGTGAGTCAGCAGAGCCAGGGAGAGAATCCAGAAGTCATGGCTCCCAGCCCTCCTCCAAACCACCAGCCCCACTCTTCTTCCACATCCAAGGAGAGCCCAGGATTCCCAATGATATTCTAGTGCAGTACCAAAAGGAGGGCAGAACCAGGGAAGAGAAGAGGGCACAATTACCTCCATGGCACTTTTAGCTAGCCTCACTACCTCGAAGAGGTTGCCAGGCTCTGGGTTTTTCTCAACCAGGCTATCTCCATCTCTGCTGATGTATTTCCGGGGTCGCTTGGCTGTCTGCGGGAGGGGGCAAGGAGAAATTACACAGGCTGGAGTGCGAAGCCTTGGGTTTACATCTATCATAGCTTCATGAGAATTGTTAACAGAGTCAACAATGAACCCAAGTTGGGCGGATCCCAAAGCCAGGCAAGGTCTGGCCTAGCCTCCAGAGGAGGCTGGAACCAGCTCTGCTGCCCCTGCATCACAGCAGCACCATGGCACAAAGCTGGCTGCAGCAAAAGAGCTGGGATCAGATTGAGAGGAGGCATGAAGAGGCCTGGGGGGCACACGGGAAATATACCAGGCTCTGGGGGCTGAAAGGCTTCCCATCCTCTTCTAGTGCAGAGACAACAGGGTTACCAAGGTGCAGCTCAGGGGCTGGGAGACTGGAGAGGAGGTAGACAGGGACCATGCATACCAGGGTGTGGCTAAGGAAGGTCCTAGCGCCTCTCTTGCTGCCCTTCTTGAGTGTGTCCTCAAAGTCACTGCCTGAGCTGGAGCTGCTTCCATCTTCACTGCTGCTGAGGTCCCTGTGGGCAGAGGATAGGATCCTGCCCACACAGCACCTATGGCCTCACTGCTCATCCCTCAGGACCCAGCCAGGCTGCTTGCACAAGGAGAACACAGCTCCCCAACACTGTCCCATGACCCCAGCCATAGACTGATGCCTCCAAGATGAGGGGGTGCAGGGATGGCCATCTAGGGGAACAGGGAAGGGACATACGAGGACACCCTGTTTAGCAATCAATATTTTGGCAGGGGCACTGAGGGACATTGCACCTCCTAGGTACTATCACGAGTCACTCACAGCCCAAGGTATCCCATAATGCAGTGGTGCTCAACCTTTTTTAATTCATGACCTCCTCCCCCCCCCCCGGGCTGGGAAAATTTTGGTTGAGCAAAAAAAAAGGGGGGGGCGCGCTGGGAACATTTTGTTGCGGCCCCTTGAATTTAAAGCACCAGTCTGTTCCCCTGCTGATCCCCTGCCACACATACATTGGGCGCCAAGCCAAGAAAACAAAATGGCGTCCGGGCCGGTGCTGCAACCCCCCAGGAATACAGCTTCAACCCCCTTGGGGGTTGTGACCCACAGTTGCGCGCCACTGGGTGCATGAGACCACTCTAGCAAGCCATGTGGCCTCAGGACTGCCCACGCATACAAATGTAAGACTGGAAGGGGTGTATGGAGTTCCCTAGGCCAGCCCCCTGCTCTAAGACAGTTCTAGGTATTATCTAAACCAGTGGGTTTCAAATTGAGTACAACTATCCCTACGTGCACACGAGCTTTTGTCGAAGGATGGGGGTAGGCAAGAAAAACCCTGTAATGTTAGGCAAAGCACCATGTTAACAACTTTTTCTGTTTTCCTGGGTCTATCAAGAGTCAGTTATTCTCAGATGGGAGTACGCAGTATGTTGTAATATTTGGAATGGGGTCCACAGCCTAAAAAGTCTGCAAACCACTGAACCACATCACCCTTGACAAGTATCTATCTAATCTGCCAGAGACCCCGCAGCCTCCCTAGACAATTTGTTCCAGGGCTTACCCACCCTGACAGGCAGGAAGAGTTTGATAAAGTTTGACTGAAATCTTCCCTGAAGTAAGCCCACTGCTTCATGTCCTGGCCACAGTGCCAACAGAGAATACTTCATCTCCTCTTGAAAACAGATTTCACACATCTGAAGCCTGGTTTCACACCTTCTCCAGACTACACAAACCCAAGTCTTCCAGTCTCTCCTCCTAGGTTATGTTTTCTACACCTTTCATCATTCTTTTTGCTCTCCCACAGGCTGTCTGCAATCTCTCCACATCTCCCCCAGGGGGTGGCACCCAGAACCGGGCACAGTCCTCCAATAGATGCCTTATCCATACTGAGTAGAGCTTATACCACTAACTCAGACCAGGATATTTTGTTACATTTGCGCTTACATTTTATTTCCCCCCAGCTGCTTGCCTC